AAAAAAAAATGATTCAGCCTCTTACCCGACGGCCGACAAATTCTTACCTGTCCAATATACAGTATTTCATACCAGGGTGACAGAGTAATTGGAAAATCGGAATACAATCTAAACGGAAAGATTCTGTCACTTTCATTTCTCCCTCGATTCTCTATGTTTAAAATAATTGGTATTATTGTCTCATTATTTAATATTAAGAAGGGCAATTTTCAGTAGTAATACCCCAAGACCTTCAAAATTATCGGATATTTCCCGCGAGTTTCGTTGCGTGCGCGAAGGATTTTCCGCGAAACTGGAGGAAAATATACGATTAATTTTGAAGGTCGAGGGGTATTTGGCTGGATTATGTTTTCATTCCAATTTCAAGTAATTAAATGTGTGGCATTTCACGTCATATGGTATAAGTAAAATGGTTTTATTAGGAAATCTCAATTTTCCATTTTTACAACCAGACAGTTTTGGGGTTTGAAACGCGTACAAATGGTTTATCGGATATTTTCATTGCTTAGCAACAAACAGGAAAATATTCGAAAAATATCCGAAGTAAAACCGTTTGATGTCATCGCGGCCGGTAAAACGGTTTTCGGCCACAATGACATAAAATAGCATCATAGCCACGGCGAAAAAAGTGATTCTGACTAATGCGCATTATAATCCTCATCTCCGACTCGGACTAGAAAGTCGCATCCGTCAGATTCCCTTTTTCCGTCCTAGGCGTGAAAAATACCATTACTACACGTGACGAGAAATGCCGAGGAAGCCCATTTGATTGGTTGAAATTGGGATGAAAAAAATAATAAAGAATACCTATGAGTGGTGTGATATAATGGAGCACTACTGTCAAATGACACATAAAAATGGCAAATGTGACAATTCCAGTCAATCGACGCATGCATTCTCTCATGACAGCGTTCCCATAGTCTTCATACTCAACGTACCAAAAATGTTTCTGGGCGTAGCGAATTAAGTTCAGAAACAGCTTACGTTTTATTGTAAAAGAGGACACTTTATACATGCCGAATGCGCCTGTAAAAAATATCATAGTAGAATAGGTAAATTTCTATAAAACGTTGAAAATCGTAAACAATATTAGTTAGTCCACCCATAGATCAATTTCCATAGTCACATGTTTAATCTCTAATTCCGTAAAGTCTCCCTCGACCATTCGAAAAAGGAATTCAGGTCTCAATTAATTTTTATTTGTATCAATCCTGTTAATAATAATAATAAATTTAATTTTTCACTATTTTTTG